AAGAGGCAGCAGGATGCAGCGAGTGGGTATGCTAGTGCTAGCATCAACATGTGATGAAAAGGCAGGTCCTTTAGCTACATACCTCCGCGCAGGACGGCCGCCGAGAGGATGCCGATGGTCAGGATCTGCAGGGAAACACAAGCCTGTCAGAGCTACCTACTCGACGGTAAGTGTACGCCAGGACAAACAAGCAATGACCAGGCACCCAGCAAGCAACAGTCACATGCACTTGTGCAGGGGTTGGCACATGGTGCTCAAGTCGCAATGGCGCTTGGCAATCGCCGCAGCAACGAGATGTGCAATGCAGCACATCTTGCATCGTCACAAGTGTGATGCTGATGTTGCAGGCATGTTGCTGTTGGCATGGCTGCTAGCTGTGTTGCTGTGCCACTGAGTGCTACAGCGGATGCACTGCATAAGGACCGCCAGTGGTGCACGCAGCTGCCCACCTGCGCCATCCCAAAGCGCCGACCTACCGCTACACATGAGCACCAACGCATTCCTGCAAACTGCCTGCTGTGCAGCCTGTGCGGCATCCCACAGACTCCTGCAAGCTACATGCTGCCTTGCACCCCACCTTGGGCTGCGCTGCCTGTGGCGTCTTGAAGTAATTGAAGACCAGCACAAACACAAACAGGTTGTCAATGCTCAGCGACTGCTCCAGCAGGTATCCTGCAAAGTACTCCTGCGCCTTCTCGCTGCCCTCCACATACCTGCAGGAAGAAAAACAACAGGTTGCAGGACAGCACAGTTTCATCCACACAGCACACGTGTGACAGGCATCCTGCAAAGCACTCCTGCGCCTTCTCGCTGCCCTCCACATACCTGCAGGCATGCAGCACGTTTGCAGGACAGCACAGCTTCAGACAGACAGCACCATATTGCTGGTAAGGCCGCAGGTCCTGCACAGTACTCCTGCGCCGCTGCCCTGTCCTCCACGTGTGTTCAGACCAAATCCCACAAAGCATGTAGACTGCCTGACGAAACAGGTGCACAGCTGGACAGCATACACGGTGCTACAGGGAAGCCGTTCTGTAGCTCCTGAACAGCACCCTTTGCATGAATAACACCCTCTGCAGGAAAACAAGTTTACCAGACAACACAGCTGTTGCTGAAAAGCCTGATGCTGATCCTGTGCTTCATTGTGTGCACGCTGGTGTGCTCAGCTCGGACACAACTAAAAGGGCATTCATTGCTGACAGTTATCAAGATCCGCTGTGCCAGACCTGCTAGCGCACATACTAGACCGCTGCAAGTAGGAGGAGATGCACAGGAGTACAGCGCACACCGCAAGATTGCGCTGCTGAGCTCAGCACAGTGCTTCCTGCAACTGCTTTGAACACATGTCCACATGCATGATCCTATGGCTGAGAGAACTGCAAGTGTCCCTGCTGCTGTATCGGCTGCAAGCAGATGGTTCCAGCACAACCCACCAGATGCCTGCACCAAACGCCACTGCTGCAGCGACCCAGAACGCCAGCCATTCAAACCGCTGCTCCCGCACGGGGATGTCTGAGGTCATTGCCTTCAGCTCCTTTTCCTGCTCCTCCTGCATGGTTGTCATGGCGTCTGCAGTAATGAACTGCCTGCGGGGTGGCTCCGCAGGTGCGCCATTCTGCTCTATGCTACTGCCCAGCTGCTGCTGCTCTTGGGTTTTCTCCGGCACCGAGCGCGCCACACACCCAGAACCTAAGCTACATCTTTGCCGTTTTAGCTGCTGTCTTAAGCTGCTGCCGAGAGGAGCTGCTGCTAGTCGTAGCTGGCTGCCTGAGCACTGCTGGTGGTGGTGTGAAGCAGAGCCCCACTGCTGCCTGGTATGCACGCATTGCCGCTGCGCAAGCGACGCTTGCATATTGTTCAATTTATCAGTTTAGATGGCTCGGCCACGGGCTTGCTCAACCATTAGCGATCCTAGATATGTGTGGTATGAGGTGGTCCACGTATCAGTAACGCTGAAAGTCTTCCGGTATTTCCAACTTGACCGTGCTTGCCTGCGTGTCCAGGTAGGAGGTGGTGATCTGTCCCCCAAGTAGGGCCACGAGCGGAGTGACATGGCACATGTCACTCCCTTGGCGCCCACGCCGCAGCCGTAGCACCCACCAAGATCGTGAATGGTCTGAAATCGTTTCTTGGTTAGCGTTGTCGAAAGCCTTGCTGTCGTGCGCCCGTGATGGCAGTACAGTAGTGCACTGCTCTCACCTGGCCACACAAGGGTTGATCTGACTTGCAACAGCAGTGCTGGCTGTACCTGAGCTGCTGATCCTTGTATTCAGTGCTGTGTGGCTGCTGCCAGCCATCACACACAACATGCCCCAGAACCGTCAGGCAACTGCTGTAGTGGGAGCAGCCGGAGTTGTTGCAGGCTATGTCCTGGGAAGGTGATCCTGCCATATGTCTCAAATGTCAAGGTTGTTGACGTGATCTGGGTCTGTTGAAGCAAGGATAGCCTTTCGATGCTTGACTTTGTTGACTGCAGAGAACACCGCAGGAACTAAGCCTCCTGTGGCCACCCTGCTGTAAGCATCCTGCTGTGCTGTGGGCTGCCGCAGGGCTGCCAACACGTTTCAAACCAGGAAGATGCTGGGCAGCAACTACAAGTGGATGAGCAAAGAGGTAAAGCTAGCCACACTGCTGCTAGCAGATCTGTCAACATCAAGATGCGCTTTTGCAGCCTACCTGGGGAATGCAGGAGGTGGTGCATAGTGAGGTGCAGCGCCTGCAAGGAGATATGCTATACACGCAGGCAGAGGATGCAGATGCTTTGCTGGCAAACATAGATTTTGCTGCAGCCTCCAGCAGCCCAGCCATAAGCAGCATGCCCCTGTGGCTCCGGCAGACTGTAATCCAGTGCGACAATTTGCGTGGCAGCAGCTGATGTGCAACACTGCTGATACATTGTCTTTTGCGGTGCTGGTGTGCTGCAGGAGCGGCGCGTAGCACAGAGCCTGATCAGCCATGGCCAGCAGCATGTGTTCAAGGCATGGCCAAAGCGCGGTGAGCAATGCGGCAAAGCCAGCTCCCTGCCATGCTGTTGCAATTGTGCTTCTCAGCAAGTCTGACCCTTGCAGATGAGCACTTTTAAATCCGAAACGACATCACATTGGCAGCTGAGTGGGGTCTATTGCTCTTGCACTGCAGCTGTTGAATGCACGTAACTCTGTCGATTACACAACCTTATCTTTGGCGACAGCGGAGTTGCGTGCTTGCAGCCACGATAATTTTGCTGGAACCCGGCACCCCACAGGCCTGTTTCCTGCAAGCAGCAGCACTTTGCTGGCGCTGCTGTACTGTCCTCAGCCACTGGCGGCGTCCTGTTATGTTGTGTCCTGCAGGCGTGAACGATGATGCAAAGCGGAGGCTGCTGACTGTGGCTGCCAGCTACCTGCAGGGCGCAGGCAGCGGCCTAGAGGATGCTAGGCTGAGTGAGTCAGAAACGTGCAGGCTTGCGTCAGCAGCAGCAGCAGCATAAGCAGCAGCATAAGCAGCAGCAGCAGCTTCATGTGGCTGATTTTCACAACAAGGAATTTGCCTGAGCAATGAGCCGAGCTTGCAGGGATCTACTTTGCAGGCAGGGATGTTGGCTTTGAACAGTGTGGTCGGAATGACGTATGTATGCATTGCTTGTGCAGCGCATACTACAGAGTAGCTTGCAGAAAGCTGATGTCAGCCTGTATGGTTTAATGCAGCTGCAAGGACGGGCCTGCCACCTTTCAAGCGGGTGGCACTGCCCTGCGTACAGAGCAGCAGGAGCAGCCCCACATGCATGCAACTGACTGGTAGTCTGCAGTCTCCGCAGATGTTGTCCGTGCTCATGCACAGCAAAGTGGCGGCTCGAACGTGGGTCGTGTTGCTGTATGTGAAACCTGCAGGCGTGCTGGTGCCTCCTACACCCACCAAGCAGCCTAAGGAGCTGGTCACGCACAACGACACCCGCACAGACGACTACTACTGGTGAGGATGCAATGCTGCTTGCTCTGCATCCCCAGTTTGGCACAGCACCGCACCGCACAGCACGTGGCAAACATCAAAAGGATGCCTGCCGTGCTGTCGCACCTGACTGTGTCTCTTCCGTGCCTGCTTGCCTGCAGGCTGCTTGATGATGAGCACAGGGACATGCTGTGCTGTCGTTTCTCACTGTATTATGGAAAAATGACAGTCCCTAACATTCTGCAAATGCCTGCTTGCAGGCTGCGGGACGATGCGCGCAAGGATCTTGCAGTGCTGTCGTACCTGAAGGAGGAGAACGCGTACACGGCTGCAGCCATGGCAGACACGCAGCAGCTGCAGGACGCGCTGTACACGGAGATGCGGGCGCGCATCCAGGAGGAGGACACCAGCGTGGCTACCAGGTGTGGTTTTTGTAATGATTTGTAAAAGTTGTTGTATTGTTACTGGTTGAAGTGAAATGCTCTGTGAATGCGTCTTGGCTGAAGTTGGCTGGGTGACGCTGTACACGGAGATGCGGGGGCGCATCCAGGAGGAGGACACCAGCGTAGCCACAAGGTGCGAAGCTTTTTGAATTGGTGAAAATGGTAATTTTTGATTTCAGTGGAGTGTGTGCAAGTAGAAAGGAGTGGGCCGGGTAACACAGAATTCTATGCTGTACAAGGAGATGCAGGGCGCGCATCCAGGAGGCAGACACCAGCATGGCCACACGTTGCGGCTCATGTTGTGCCAAAAGCTACGCTTGGCAGGCCGTGGTGAGCACCAAGAGCAGTCAGCCTGCAGATGAAGCAGCACCAGCTTGCAAAATGGTCATTTCTGCCACCATGGTAGGAGGTGTGAAGGCGCATGGGGTATCCTCATCGTCACACACACCCCCTCCCTTAACTTACGCGGGTGGCGAGTTTTAACACGCCATGCGTAGCTCATTCAGTCATTCATTCATTTCTGCCACCAACCTGGAGAGTCATCCGTGAGATTGTGGATGACCTCTGCTGGTTGTGCACAGCCCGCAGCCATAGCCACGTGTACTTTGCACTGGGTTGTGTCATGTGACTTGGAGATGGAGGGCTTCGATCCCCCTACCTCGCGCATGCGAAGCGCGCGCTCTACCAACTGAGCTACATCCCCTGCTGAGACCATGCAATACTGTGCTGAACACTGCTGAGAAGGCTGCGCGCCACACGCCAGCAGCAGCGTTGCCTCTGGAGCCTTTTATTGCCTGGCATACTGTGTTCCGTGGTAATGGTTTGTGTGTGGTGCCTATCCCTGCTGCTTTTCGTGCTGCACTTCGCACATGCTGCACTGCATGTACTTGTTGGTTTATGGGGAGGTAGGGGCTGCAAGATGCCTCTGGAGTTTTACTTTGGCTACATCTTGTGGCTTGCTATCGGGTTCTCATGATATGTGAGCTGAACCCTGTAACAGACCTCTCTCTCTCCCGCTGAAAGAGGGGCAAGTGACTCGCTCTAGGGCGATAGCTTGCCCACCCCTGTAACAGACCTCTCTCGCCTATCATGATATGTGAGCTGAAAGAGGGGCAAGTGACTCGCTCTAGGGCGATAGCTTGCCCACCCCTGTAACAGACCTCTCTCTCGCGCGCGTGTATCGCTGCTGCAAAATGTAGTTGTGCGGCCCTTGCAGCAGCTGGCTTGTTCTCTGCTCTCTCTCCCCAGTTTGTCGCCTCAGGCCACCGCCTGCCAGGCTGTGTTTCTGCTGGTGGGTGTTGTTCTGTGGGTTCAGCCCGCCCGCTGCACTGCATAAAGTGCAGCTTGCTGTCACTGACACTGTTTACACTAGTCCTGCCTTTGTTTAGCATCAACACTGCGTGTGCTGTGACTGACGGCTTTGCCTGCAAGGCCATATGTCAAGTTACACACACAGAGAGACTTTCTGGGGTCGAGTCTCCTTGAGTGACAGCCTGTTTTGCTGAGTCATCTGCGACGTTCCAGATTTTCGGGTGTTCGTTGCAACGTAGTTGCCTGTGCCCACCGTGTAACCCCTCTTCTTCTGTGTGTGGTGCGGCGGTGATGGCCTTCTTTTCACTGCATGTACTTGCTTTCCCTGTGTGCTTCTGATACGCCGGAGCTAGCCGTCTTGCTTTGCAGGAGCTGTGAGTTGCCCGTATAACTGCTGCAAAATGTAGTTGTACGGTCCTTACAGCATCTGGCTTGTTCTCTGCTCTTCCTTCCCAGTGTGTCGCCTCAGGCCACCGCCTGCCAGATGTTTTTCTGCTGGTGGGTACTGGTCTGTGGATTCAGCCCGCCCGCTGCACTGCATGAAGTGCAGCTTGCTGTCACTGACACTGATTACACTAGTCCTTCTGTTGTTTAGCATCAACATTGCGTGTGATGTGACTGGCGGCTTTGCTTGCAAGGCCATGTGTCGAGTCACACACACAGAGACTTTCTGGGGTGAGTCTCCTTTCAGTGACAGCCTGTTTTGCTGAGTCATCTGCGACGTTTCAGATCTTCGGGTGTTCTTTGCAACGTAGTTGACTGTGCCCACCGTGTAACCTCTCTTCTTCGCCTCTGGAGTTTTCTTTGGTGGCGTCTTGTGGCTTGCTATCAAGTTCATACGATATGTGAGCTGAAAGTAGGGCGAGTGACTCACTCTCGGGTGATAGCTTGCCTTCTCCTGTAACAAGCCTCTCTCCCCTCTGGATTTTTACTTTGGTTGCGTCTTGCGGCTTGCTATCGGGTTTTCATGATATGTGAGCTGAAAGAGGGGCAAGTGACTCGCTCTAGGGCGATACCTTGCCCGCCCCTGTAACAGACCTCTCTCTCGCGCGGCCTTGACCCCGCCTACCAGGATCTGGTGACCTCACGGTTAACAGCCGTGCGCTCTGACCAGCTGAGCTAAGGCGGATCGCTGTACAGAGTGAACCAGGAAGCTGGCTGAGTGCAAGACTGTCAACCCTTTGCTGCTGCTGCTGCTTGTGGCTTGCTGTCGGGTTCTCATGATATGTGAGCTGAAAGAGGGGCAAGTGACTCGCTCTAGGGCGATAGCTTGCCCGCCCCTGTAACCGACCTCTCTCCGCTGCTGCTAGGAGTCTTCTTGAGTGACAGCCTGTTTTGCTGAATCATCTGCGGCGTTCCAGATTTTCGGGTGTTCGTTGCAACGTAGTTGCCTGTGCACACCGTGTAACCCCTCTTCTTCTTCGCTGCTGCTAGGCGGGCAGTGAGGCTGCAGACTTGCTGTTCCGTCGGAATGGTGGTGGTGGACGGAGTTGGACTTGAAACCCTACCTGGCTGGTATGATTCGCCAGTTCAAGAGGCTGGAATTGCCTGGCCCCCATGTGTAACAAACACTAACTACAGCTGCTGCTGCTGCTGCTGCTTGCCCACCCCTGTAACAGACCTCTCTGTGTTGCAGCTGCAGGTACGAGGGCTACTACATCTACACGTTGAGGAGGGCCAGCAATACACACACCACTGCAGGCGTCCGGTTGGCAGCACTTTCAACCCTTTTTATTTTGCTGCTGCTGCAGGTACCAGGGATACTACTACTACACCCGCACCGAGGAAGGCCAGCAGTACGCGGTGCACTGCAGGCGTGCAGTAGCGCCTGGCGCTGGTGCCCCTGCTGAGTCAGATGAGCCTGGGCAGCAGCAGCCTGAGGAGGTGCTGCTGGATGAGAACAGGAGGAAGGAGGAGGGCAAGCACAGCTTCTACATGGTGAGGGGGGTTGTCTTCGATTGCCTGGTGCTTGGTGATTTAAGCTGCTGATTGAAAATGCAGCATTGTCAGGACGAATAAGGCCAAGCAAGCAGCATGTACATGACATAAACAAAACAGCATGCAGGTATGTCAGTTATGTCAGATGAGGCTGGGCAGCAGCAGCTGGGCCGGGTGCTGCTTGATGAAAACAGGAGGAAGGAGGAGGGCAAGCACAGCTTTTACATGGTGAGGGTGGATGTACATTTGTATCTGCAACTCAGTGAAACAAGGTGTTGACTGGGGAATGTGGCATAGTCAGGTCCAACATCGCCAAGCCTGTATAACGATCCACACAAGGATGCAGACATGCCATATGAGCCGGGGCAGCAGCAGCTGCAGGAGGCGCCCTTCAAACAGCACTTGAAGAAATAGAGAACAGAGACATTCTGCATAAGAAAGGGTCATTTTGCAGTGCCAGATGGAGCACTACTGATCCTGCCTTCATTTATTTGCATTGTGCTGGATGCTGCAGGTGGGATGCTGCGAGACATCTCCCAGACTGTCTGGTATGTGTTGCTGATCAGTTGATGTGTGGCTGCTGCCGCCTGTGTGCTTTGTGGGTGCTGGCTGCTGCAGGTGGGCTGCTGCGAGACGTCTCCCAACCAGCAGCTGCTGGCGTGGACTGAGGACACCGTGGGAGGGGAGAAGTACACGCTGCACGTCAAGGTGGGGATTTACACCACAAATACACCACAGATATGCATTGCAAGACAAGTGCGCCTCCTACATGAGCGAGCGCGATGCCAAAAATACATAAAAAAAATCTGAGCCTTTAAAGCTAATATTTTTATTTCTAGTTTTTTGGCCATCTCAATTTCTGTACCTGCACTTTGCCTCTGCAACCGTACTGCCTCTATCATGCATTTGTACTGCCCGTGCATGTACTGCCAGGACCTGGCCACTGGCAAGGAGCTGATGACGCCCATCCTCAACACCAGCGGTGACCTGCACTTCGCCTTTCTGCAACTGTACTGCCTCTCTCATGCATTTGTACTGCCCGTGCATGTACCGCCAGGACCTGGCCACTGGCAAGGAGCTGATGACGCCCATCCTCAACACCAGCGGTGACCTGCACTTCGCCTTTCTGCAACCGTACTGCCTCTCTCATGCATTTGTACTGCCCCTGCATGTACCACCAGGACCTGGCCACTGGCAAGGAGCTTATGACGCCCATCCCCGACACCAGCGGTGACGTGGTGTGGGCAAATGACAACGCGACACTCTTCTATGTTGTGAAGGTGAGTGGCAGATTTGTATGCTGTATTTGTGAGCTGCGTGATGTTATTGATCAATTAGCGCATGGCACAAATGACAACGCAACACTCTTCTATGTTGTGAAGGTGAGTGGCAGATTTGTATGCTGTAGTTGTGAGCTGCGTGATGTTATTGATCAATTAGCGCATGGCACAAATGACAACGCAACACTCTTCTATGTTGTGAAGGTGAGTGGCAGATTTGTATGCTGTAGTTGTGAGCTGCGTGATGTTATTGATCAATTAGCGCATGGCACAAATGACAACACGACACTCTTCTATGTTGTGAAGGTGAGTGGCAGATTTTTTTGCTGTAGAGGTGAACAGCGTGATCAATTAACGCATGTTGCAAATGACATTGCAACACTATTTCACATCATGAAGGTGGGCAGCAGGCACAAGCAGCGCCGCACATCACCAGGCATACAGTACGCATCAACCGTGCTTGCAGGTTGCGCTGCAGTGCTGAGCAGAGTCTGCTCCGGCCTTTCTAGGTTCCAAGAGTCCTACACATCTATAAACTAAGCAGCAGTATAGGTGTCTTGCAGGACCACCTGGACCGGCCCTACAAGGTGCTGCGCCACAGCGAAGATTTCAATCTTTTATTCAAATATCTTAAACTGTACAACTGTCTGTGTCTTGCAGGACCACCTGGACCGGCCCCACAAGGTGCTCCGCCACAGCGAAGATTTCAAATACTTTTTGGATATCTTAACTGCACAACTGTCTGTGCCTTGCAGGACCACCTGGACTGGCCCCACAAGGTGCTCCGCCACAGCGAAGATCTTGAAAAATCATTTAAATATCTTGACTGTTCAACTGTCTGTGTCTTGCAGGACCACCTGGACCGGCCCTACAAGGTGCTGCGCCACAAAGTGGGCAGCGCCAGCGCTGAGGACCCCGTGGTCTACGATGAGAAGGACGAGGTGCGCACCGGTGCGGGGTACCCCTCTGTGGAGCTCTGATTGCCACAGCGATGCAACATCTGCATGTGATGTGCTGCAAAATTTGAAGATGCAAGTAATCACGAGGAGGGCGAGGTGTGCGGGGTGGTGTAGAAGATGGAGGCAGCACGAGTCTGGTTGTTACAGCAACGCCTGCCTTGTGCTGGAGATGCAGCAGTGTATGGGAGGAGAAGGACGAAGCCTTCGTGGCGGCC